GCAGGCCCTTCTGCCACGGGTGGCTCTGATGGCTGTGAGGATGGCGGGTCGTGCATCTGGGGGAAAACAAGTCCCAGTTCCTTGTGTGTATGGGGAATACTACCGACACCTCCCCCGCTCCCTGCAGACGGTGAGCTGGGGAGTTCTTCTTTGCACTCCATGCCAGGAGGCTGGAGGGAATTACTACTGTTCTTACTCTTTTTGCCTTTGCTATCACTGCCTTTCTTTTTAGTTTTTTCGGAAATCCAGGAAGTTGTCTCATGATCCATCCAAGGACACTCTCCTTCCTTGGTTTGGTTGCTGACCCCCAAATCTCTGACTGCGGCTCCACTTTCCATGCTAGCACCAGAAGTCTGAGTCACGCTTGACCTACTTTCCGAAGGAACCAAAGCCTGCAAGGAATCTGCCACCCTGGGGTGAGCGGTCACCTTAGGCTCCCCTCCCACCGCTGCCTCAGTGAGGTCAGCCACAGCCCCTGGCTGCTTTGGGGAACCCAGCCCCAGCCCCTCTCTCTTCTCCCCAGGAGTCACTCCGCCAGTTCCAGCAGTGGGCTCACTCGGCACAGGACCAGCTCTTCCGTCCTGGCTGTCCAGGGGGAACAGCAGCTCAGGTCGTGCTCTTAGCTTCCCCGAATTCATCCTCACTTTCCCAGAACTTCCCCTTCCCTTCCTGCTCCTGCCATCACCTGTCACTCTCCTGAATGGCTCATTCTCTAGCCCAGGGACCCCTTCTGACCCCTGGCCCTGCAGCTGTTCAGCAGCAAAGATGCTGACCTCTGGTTTTTGCTTGGGAAACTCTTCCTGTTTTAGTTCGCTCATCTCTCTACCTCCTCCAGGAAACTCCTTGGGTTTAGTCTCTCTACTCTCACCATTGCCTTTTTTGAAATTATTTTCCAATGGATTCCTTGCTGTCAAAGTGGGCATGGGCATTGGATTAGGCCTTTCTTTTGCTGCTGTGAGTTTTGAAACTCCACCTACCACCTCTTGATCCAAGTTAGAAGGGCAACCCTCTTTGGGTTTGATCTCCAATGGAGTTTCTCGCCTGTGTGTAGCAACTTCTGTCAAGAGCCCTTGTGACCTGAGGGGCCCCACTCCCTGGCTGTTACCCACAGGTGTCCTGGGGTGGGCAGGAGGCTGTGGTCTGTGTTCACCTTGCTGCAGCAATGGCTTGTCTGGGCTCTGTGGTACCAACCTGTTATCTCTGCCTTCTTTCTCTACACTCAGCTTGGGCTGAGAATTTACTGGAGTTGTGGGGGCATCTTCTGAAGGACATGAAGGAACCCTGAGACTCTCTCTGTTTTCAGCAGCAGGTTTGGCTGGTGCCGAGTCAACCACACGTTCCCTTTTCAAGTGTTCTCGGGGTACCAGTCCATAGTCCATGCCCATGATGGCAGCCTGGCTGGGAAGAGCACCTGATCTGGGTTGGTCAGCAGCAGAGGGATGGCCTTTAAGCTCATCAGCATTGTCATCATCCCAAGGTCCCCCAGGCCGGGGTTGAGGATATCTCTTTTGCTTTGGTTTCTTCTTCTTTTTCTTCATCATCATCGATGTGCTTTCTACATTCCAGGCATCCCTACCAAGATCCCTCTGGGGTTCAAGGAAGTCAACATGAATATTCTTCCTTTGGTTCCCAGGCTCACCACCAGAAGATGAACCAGAGACCCAACCTGACTCAGAGAAAGAGCAGGGGCCTGGCCTGGGTTCAAGAGTCTTCCATGAAGGAGAGCCGCCCAGTAGCTCAGGAGGGCCCCTGGCAGGCTTGGGCCGAGCTGAGCTGCAGTCACTGGGTCTGTACACTTGTTGGGCTTGTGTGGGAGGGGTACCTGCAACACATGAAGCTGGCTAAAACTCCAACGAAAACTCCATGTGATTGTTTCTTTACAAAACAAAAAAGTCAGTTTAGTGACTCATGGTGACTATTTTCACCTATCGACATGGTAATTTTTTCAGAAAATTGCTTTGTCCAAAACATTTCTCATCCTTAACTGGGGTTAATAAATATTTAACAAAGGTCATTATCTCAGGTAAATATTTTTTAAAAAACATATTAGCAAAATACCAGAAATATTTAAAATAATCTACACTCTATAGTACTGGCTAAAACTCCAACGAAAACTCCATGTGATTGTTTCTTTACAAAACAAAAGTCAGTTTAGTGACTCATGGTGACTATTTTCACCTATCGACATGGTAATTTTTTCAGAAAATTGCTTTGTCCAAAACATTTCTCATCCTTAACTGGGGTTAATAAATATTTAACAAAGGTCATTATCTCAGGTAAATATTTTTTAAAAAACATATTAGCAAAATACCAGAAATATTTAAAATAATCTACACTCTATAGTAAACACTTATTGCCTCTAAAATTCAGCTGATTTATACTCATCATTATTTTTAATAGGTGCTAAGTCCCAATTTTGCAGCAAGATGGTCACGCTTCTAGTGCTGCTTTCTTTTTGGTGACATTTATTAACTGACTGAATTAACTCTACAGGATCTTGGACAGAAGTTACAATTCTAAGAGTCTGACACCAATATTATACCAATACTTGGCAAACCAACCAGATTAATTCTGGAATGAGAGCAGAAGGCCAGACTTATGCTACTTCCCAAAGAAAGAAAGAAAAGATACTGAATTAGTATTTTGGCCAGAGAAAAATTCTCATCATTCCAGACCTGGAACATCCTATTTTGAAAAAGAAATGTGTTAGATTTCAAAGTTCAGTTTCTAAATGTACTTCTCAAGAGACTGAGAAATATATACAATGCTAACTAGGTGAGTGAACTTGAACATGTAGGGTGAGCGTCCTGGAAAGTTTCAGAAAGCTATCTAATCCAACCTCCTGCCTCCAAGTCAATAACGATATAGATCCAAGATCCTGGAAAGAGTCTCATTACGAAGAGGCTGCACAGCTCCTGCCAAGGCTGACCCACTCATCTGATCTCAAAGAGTGTTAGAATACTTAAATAGCTTTTGTTCTTGCCCTCATCCCTCCGATGGCCTCTAAATCCTATCTTTTCTTTAATTTCTCAGGTTAGTCTCCCAAAATTGCTAGGGTTTGTAACACGTAGTTTGGTACGTTATCAGCAGCTATTTGGTGACTTGTCTTCCACGATTTTACCTAACTATTATGTAAACCTCTGGTTTCAGAGTTCGTGCCCGAGACTTCTCTCCTGACCTAGGTTATTATATAATAACTCAAGGGCAAAGACCAGGCCCAAGATACCTGTGAGCCGTAACATGGTATACGAGCACTTGACCAATCTGCACTGATTGCTGAGTCAGTAAAACAACACTTAAAAAAAGCAAACATTTCTTTAGCTCCTACTTGGCGGAAACAGTGTGCAAAGCACTAGGAATGCTACGTGAAGTAAGTCATGGCCCTGGCCCAACTTTCGCATTGATGACAGCTGCAGATAAGGGAATAGAAAACTATCAGGCTGCTAATTGTATACATATGGCTTCTCACTTACCATGAAAACATGCTGTCTTACAGCTCACTGAATAATCAAACATTAAATAGGAAAGTATCTTAAAATAGCACCTCTTACAGTGTAATAGTGCACATAAGATTTTCTGGGGATCTTGTTGAAATGAAGACTGGAATCCTGAGCCAGCTTTCCAGCCGTGCAGACACAGCTGGGCTGCAAGGGCACTGCCGACACGTGAGGCTTTACAGGGTATTGGGTCAATTTATTTACCTCATAGCTCAGAATACTGAGGTTCAGGCAAGTAAGTAACTTGTCTAAGTCCACACAGGACAGGACAGTGACCCAAACTGGATCAAAACATAGGCTCTGAGCTGAGGCAGTAAATGTGAAATACGCAACAGCTGACGTGACCTCTAAACTCGTCTTACACAAGAAGACACACTGAAGACTGACTGCATAAACTGCTCAGTGGATCACCACCAGCAGGCCGGGGAGCCATCATCCCCATCACTGACGGCCTAGTGGTTTCCAAGAGCCCTCCCGTTTCTCTCACATACCTGAGGTCTCTGAAGGAAGTTCGGGAGGCTGACTGCCAAGTGGCCTCTTTTGTTCTAGTTTCTGCAACACAGAGTCCTCCTCTGTTGGCAAGGTGCACTTCTGGCCCATGGCTGTGATCGGTTCTAAAGGAAATAATAAAAATCACACGGGGTTTAGATTTCAGCCATATCTTCCCAGCTGCCAGAAGCTGGACGTGGGAATCGTTCGTAATACTCCTCTAAGAAGCAGCAGAGAAGCAGAGGGGTAGTTGGAAGGTGAAGGCAAGATAGAGTTGGGAGGATATTTGTCTGCTTAATAAGACAGGAAACGTGGGACCAGCAGTTGGCATAATGGCTATGTTGCTGGATTCCCATGTAGTCGACTGTGGTTTGAGTCCTGGACCTGGTGGCTTAAACTCACGCCAGGCACGTGCGTGTGTGTGCATGCCCAAGATCCCGAGAAGAGAATGGAGAAGGGACTGTGGCGTGGTCAACCCCCCTGGGGGGTGATTTCTCGCTTTCTGTCTCTCTCTGTCTTTCTGGCGAGTGCACGTGTCCTATACCAAAAACCTCTCCCTCCCCCCCCCCCAAAAAAAAGGACAGGAAACATAACAAATGCTTCAAAATTGGTGGGAATAACCCTGTGGAAAAGGGATCAAAGTGCTGAGACACAGAAAGGGGAAGAAGGCTGGGGCCGTGTATGTGACTAGGAAATGGGATGTCACCTAGTGCCAAACAAGGGGAGGCTGGTCAGACGGAGGAGCAGGAACAACTCATTTACAAAATGAGGCAAGAGCGCAATGCACGGAGACAGATGCTGGGAATAAGAAGACGACAGCAAGCTGGGCCACCCGCATCGACACCAAAACCCTTCCCCCCCCCCCCCCCCAAAAAAAAAGGACAGGAAACATAACAAATGCTTCAAAATTGGTGGGAATAACCCTGTGGAAAAGGGATCAAAGTGCTGAGACACAGAAAGGGGAAGAAGGCTGGGGCCGTGTATGTGACTAGGAAATGGGATGTCACCTAGTGCCAAACAAGGGGAGGCTGGTCAGACGGAGGAGCAGGAACAACTCATTTACAAAATGAGGCAAGAGCGCAATGCACGGAGACAGATGCTGGGAATAAGAAGACGACAGCAAGCTGTGGACACCCTATTTTACTAACATGTTCTGTAAGGAAAACCGGAAAACCAGCAAGGGACAAGGACAGACAAGGTGCTGGCAGCTGGAGGAGCACCAGGGGGAGGGAGCAGCTGTCTGGGGCCACAGTGTGCTCGGGGTCTCGCGGAGTGCTACTGATCCCTGTATTTACGCAGCCCACTGCTGGGAGTCCCACGTACCTGGGGAAAGTGTGAAAGCAGCTGCAGCTGACCGCCCCCCAGCCTGGGGAGATTCCAGTTGGGGACCCTTGCTTTTTCCTTCCCTTGTTTGGGGTATCTCCACGTCTTTAACTGGAACTGGAGGCACCTCTGTTTCTGAAGGTGGTGTAGCATCTGTGGCTGGAACCACACTGCTGACCGAGGTCACCTCAGTTCCCGCCGGGAGAGCCAGGTCCTTCTTCTGGGCTACCTCTGTTGCTGGGGGTGAGGCCACATCTCTGCCCTGGGCCATGTCCTCGATCAGGCCCACCTCTGTTTCTGAAGGCAGCACTACACCCATGGTCACCTTGGTTTCCGGAGGCAGAGCCATGGCCCTGGCTGGAGCCACCTCTGCTTCTGGGGTTAGTGCTATATCCTTAGCCGAGGCCACCTTGGTTTCTGGAGGCAGGGCTGTGTCCCTGGCTGGGGTCACCTCTGTCTCTGAAGACAAAGCCACCTGGTTAGGAGACATCTCTGTGGGAGAGACAATGTCCTTTGCCAGCCCCACTTCTGTCCCTGAGAGTGACACCACGCCCTTGTCCGGGGCTCGCTCTCTCTCTTTGGGTGGGACCGTGTCTTCAGGGGAGGCTACGTCCATCTTTACAGGTGAGGCCGTCTCTGTTTCTTTGAACAGCATCACGTCCTTGGCTGGGGCTGCATCCATTTCTGTGGCCAGTACCACATCACTGGCTGGAGACACACTGGTCTCCGTGGGGCCTACGACATCCTTTACCAGGGTGACCTCTGTGTCTGTGGGTAGCACCATGTCCATGACAAGGGCCAGATCTGGCCCCGCAGACGGCTGCATGTCCTCGGCCAGTGCCATGGCTGGTACGTTGGGTAGCTCCGTGTCTTTGGCCGGTGCCAGCTCTGTTTCTTTGGCTGGTGCCATGTCTTTGGCCAGTGCCACCTCTGTTTCTCTAGATGGTGCCATGTCAGCAGTCTTCATCCCCACTGGCGCTTGGCTTGGTGGCTTCTCTCCTGCTGATGCCATTTCTACCTTCTCGGCTAGCTCTAGGGAAATCATTGGGAAATTGAGGGCCCGTCACTGCCCACTCATAGCCCTGCAGTCAGAATGCCCCTCTTAGGGCACAGGAGCACTTGGCTGTGACCACAAGCCCATACACAAAGCCGCTAGTTTACGTGCTCTGCTTGCTCTCTGACAGCCCTGCTCTGACCCTGGGAGGACATGCACTAGAGGAGGCAAGGTCAAGGGGAGGGAAACACAGGCTAAGGAAAATCAGACAGGGCCAGCAGGTGGCATGGTGGCTAAGGTGCTGAACTCCCACGTGGCTGACCAGGGTTCAAATCCTGGACCGGGTGGCTTACTTTCTCTCTTCCCCACTCTCTCTTTCTCTGGTAGGCATACATGCCCTATAGCAAATTAAATAATAATAATATAAATAAAAATAATATAAATGAAAGTAAGTAAAAATCATTCTAAAACACACACACACAGTCATATCATTAGTATCAGAGACAGATCCTGCGGGAAAGCTGGTAAAAGGCAATTCTTCCAATCAAGGAAAAATTCCAGGACCAGCTCCGAGTTAGCTCAGCGTAACTCATCTCCCAATCAAGGAAGAGCTCCAGGACCAGCTCCGAGTTAACTCAGCGTAACTCAATGCTCCAGAGATGCTGGGTCCTGGGTGGGCGCCACATTACAGTGGTTAAGTCCTACGCACTGGGAGCTGGGACCTATACGCCTTACTAGGGCTCAAATTCAGATACAAGCAACTTGAGTGTGTGTGTGTGTGTGTGTGTGCACGTATGTGTGCTCATGCTTACGTGCAATGGGGTGGAGAAAGAAAAGATCGCAATGTGACTAGTCCCACTGGGAGGTGCTCTCTCTCTCTCTCTGTCTCTCTGTCTCATATGTGCACACAAACTCTATCACCTACCAAGGAAAAACAAGCAAACAAAACCCTCTAGACTTCTAAATCTGCATTGACTTTCAGGCCAACCCAAGGCTTGGTGGTTGAAACAGCTAGATCCCACATGGCCAACTACATTATTTGAGTCTTGGACCCAGGGGCTTGAGAAACACGCTAGTACATATGGGTATGTGTCCCAAATCCTGAAGCAAGGGAGAAATGGAGAAGGAACTGAGGCATCAACATGCTCCATGGAGGGAGGGGAGGGGCTTCACTTCCCAATTCCCAGCAAAATGTTTTTAAGGCATTTTCCTTGCCATTCATACTAAGTGTGTATTTCAACTACAATTTTATTCCTCTAGCTCTGATACCACTAACATAACCTTAAGAACATTTGTGACAGTTCTGAAATGTTCATCTCTATCTTCTGTACTCTGTATGTCACAAGGATTTCTCGAAGTTACCTGTTGCTGGCTGCAACGGTCCTGGAATGGCCTCTGCAGAAACAAAGGGCTCTGAGTATGGCCAGCTTGGGGCTTCCACAGGCCACCCCTGAGTTACCGCAGCGGGAGAAGGTGCGTCACCAGGAGCCATGCCTGAGAGTGAGACACAAACACATCTTTGAAACTTAGCCTGCACTGTGGAAATCAAAGGCATCTGAGAATCGACTCGGCTGCATATTTTGCCATGAGGACAGAGACCTAAAGACCAATAAAAGCAAAGCATGATGGTTTTAAAGAAAACTGCTGGCATCTGAAGATCTCCATTAACTGGTAAAGGCAGTGCAGCAGCACCATGCCCTGGCGGTGCCACCGACCAGCACATGGTGACTGTCCACAGGGTATTTGTAAAGGCTCAAAATACCACACGCTGAGCTCTACACCCTACACCACCAATGCAATGTGAGTAGACTTCAATAGGTGCATGGAAAAACAAGCGTGTTCATTTAATTAGTACTACCTTTTAAGTTTATTTACTTATTCTACGAGTGAAAGAGACATAGAGGAAGAGGGTATAAAGCAGCAACCTTCCCAAGTGAGCCACACTCCTAGGGCATCTTGTTTTTCTGCTGAGTCACCGTTTGGTCCCTACCTGTTTATTTTTATAATCCATGCAGAGTGTTTACATAACATGCATTTGCCATGAACTTTTGAAGACACCTCTGCCAAAGACAAAGTGTATAGTAAGAAATTGTGAAACTTATTTCATCTTTTTTCATTGCCAGAGAGACCCAGAAGAGAGCTAAAAGCACCCCTTAATGGGGTGTGGCCATGCTGTGATCCTTCTCCTCCATCTCTCCATTCTGTCTGGATTAGGGCACACATGCACACGTGTCTCACTCATTTTTCAGGCTACCAGAACTGGGGCTTGACTCATAGTCAGCCATGTGGGATCCGGCTTTCTGCCACTACTAGGCGCTACAGGGCTGGCTCGAAATTCATTTCTTCATCTGTAAAATGAGATTAGCATCTCCCTTCCCAACATTAGGAGACAATTTTATGGAAATGCTATGTGAATTACTAAGAAATAGACAAATGTAAGAGGATTATGTTTAAGCTGTCCTATGTCAGATAAAATAGAGGGTTTAGGATCACAGAGTTCCTGCCATCAGGATGATTACGACTTATCTGGAGAGGAAAGATGAACATGCATCAGAGGTGCGCACTGTGTATGGACTAAGTGCTACAGGAGATCGAAGCAGCCGCAGGTAACCGGGGCCACCGAGCCATCCTGCAGCCACGTGGCAAGGTCCAGGCAGATCCCAGGCTGACCTCAACATGCCAGGTGTGCCCACAATCCTGGCTGGCTGGAGGACTAGGGGAAGGGGGATCACAGCACAGTGAGATCCTGTCAAGGGTACCTGCCTCTCTCTCCCATGAAAAATAGAAATTTAAAATGAAAACAAAACAAAACAAAAAAACAACCACAGGGACCAGAAGAGACACCAAGGGCTTTAGAAGAGAAGAGCTTCTTGAAATAGAAGCGAGGATGATCAATTTCAAGAACAAACACTGAGCAAGAAAAGCACAAAGAAATTGAGAGGAGGAGACTTTCTGCTATGAGCAACCCTAATTCAGACAGACCTTGCACATCAGAGGAGAACAGGATTAGAACAAAGAGTGGAAAAAGCCCTTGAAAGCCAAACAAATTTAGACTTGAAGAGAAATAACAGGGTATCTTTAAATGTGTTCATCCTGTAAACAAGATGAATACAGACCAAGGACCCATCTCGCAGGCATATTCAGAGTGGACTAGAACAGGGAGCAAACTAGGAGGCTAGTTGGGTGGTCTGGGGAAAAGCAGAGGGGACAGAGCAGAGAGAAAGAAGCTGTGAAGACAGCAGTCAGTGCGACCATGTGACTCAGCTGGTGAGCTCAGAGAGCAGAAGCCCCAGCCAACCAAGCATCTGGAGACCAGATGGGCGACTAGTCGACTCATTCCACATCCTTCTTCCAAGAAATCTTCCGTTTAAAGAAAAGCATACGTGAAACACGTCATTAGCCACATCTTTACAAATACACAGTTCCAAGCACTGTTTGAAACGGAGCTTGTTAGTGATGGGCACCCTGGCCAGATTCATGCTAAAAGTTGTACAAAGCCAGGGAAGGGGATACCATGATTTATTGAAAACTACGGTTGGTTAAGTGTACTAGTACCAGACAGTAGGTAGATGTCTTACATCATTTTACCTAATCGTCATCACCTCTTCATGGTAGGAACTAGTCCAGGCTCCACTTTAATGTGAGGAACCGAAGGTCAGGGAGGAAGAGACACCCCAGGCCACATGAGTGGGTAAACCATGGACGCAAACGTGGCCTGAGGTTCTAAACCCATGGTTCTCCGAAAGGAGGTAGCGGCCACTGAAAAGCCAACTCCAGGTGCTCTCCTGGACACATCTAGAGTGCCCTCCCACAGCCACAGCCCTTAGAGCTGACTTTACCTAGTAGTTAACTTCAAAGGGGACGGGTAAAGGCCATGTTTACTGTTTGGAATCAAAGAATTGCAGGGTCCCAAAATATGCTGCTCCAAAGTATGCCACTTTGGCATAAGGATTAGCAACTGAGAGCAAGCAGACATAAAGAATGTTCCTGGGGCCAGCAGGTGGTGTGGTGGTTAAGGTGCTGGACTCCTACATGGGCAACCACAATTCGAATCCTGGACCTGGTGGTTTGAAAATCACATCAAGTTTGTGTGCATGTGTGCCCAAAATCCCAAGAGAAAAATGGAGGAAAAAAGACTCACACAGCCATCCCCCCTGGGGGGTGATTTCACACTCCCTCCCCCTCTCTCCAGCAAGCGCATGGGCCCTATGGCAACAAACTAAAAGAAGGAATGCTGTCTGGGAGTTGGCCTGTGTCCTGGTAGTTAAGGGAAATGGAACCTACACAGCCAACTGTAAAGTCCCAGACCCGGAGGCCTGAAAAACACACAAGGCGCGTGTGCATGCATGTGCAAAATCCAGAAAGGAGGGAAATAAGGAGAAGAGATTGTGGTGTAACCACTCCCCATGGGGTGGCTTTTTCCACCTCCCTCTTCCTCTGGCAAATTAAAAAAAAAAAAAAAAAAAAAAAAGGCTCCCCGCCCTCCCCCATTTGCCTAAAAGTAACATATAAACTTTGAAAAGGTGTCTGTCTGCTCCTCTATCAGGAAAACAAAGGCTGATCACTTGAGACAACTCTCCACGCTGCGGCAGGCCTAGGATGGCACGACGGGATTTTATATAACAGACATTACGTTCCTAACTGGCCTTCACTCACCATTTAATTGCCCCCAGTTTGCTGCCCCTGAAGTCTCGAATTTCTTTTATCTTGTCATTTACTGTTTTTTTTGGGGGGGAGGAGGTGTTTTTTGTTTGTTTGTTTGTTTGTTTGCTATAGGGCACGTGCGCTCGCCAGCCAACCAGAGAGAGACATAGAGACAGAAAGCAGGAAATCACCCCTCAGGGGGGATGGCCACGCAGCAACCCCTTCTCCTCCATTCTCCTCTCAGGATCCTGGGCACGCATGCACATGCGCCCAGCATGAGTTTAAGCCACCGGGTCCAGGACTTGAACCGCGGTCGACTATGTGGGAGTTCAACAACTACCGATTCCCTAGTTACTGCGCATTATTTATGAATATACACGTTGAACTTCCTCTTGCCAACCTGTTTTTTAATATAGGGCCCCAGCCAATGAACTTAAGATGGACAGAGGACAGAATAGACGCGGCTGCGGAGCCATACCGTAACTGTCGTTCAGGGGGTCATTCTGTCCTGTAAATACCGAAGCACTGGCTGTTCCACTGGAGAGAAAGAGCAAATCTGCCAGGCCATCAGCATGGTGCATCCTAAAGGGATCTGGAAGGAAGAATCCGAAACTCATTCCCAATGAATGCAGCAAGAGAGGTCAACATCTCCTACTACCATACAGTAGGTATCCACTCATTGCACGTGCTGTCAACAGTAAGCCAATCAGCTGGGAGACAGAGTGACTGCACGTGGGAGGGAAGCAGTAAGTACTCATTAATCATTAGTCACACGTTAGCAACATTCCCTGGGGCCGGCAGGTGGCCTGGTGTTTAAGGCGCTGGACTCCATATGGCCGGCCACAGTTCAAGGCCAGACCTGGTGGCTTGCTTTCTCATTTACCCTCTCTCTCTCAATGGCCAAAATAAAAAATAATAATAGTAGTAAATAAAATTAAATACTTAAAAACATACGTTGTATATTAAAAGGACATCCAACTTTATAAAATACTAAGAGGTGAAAGTACAGAGAAAACTAAATTTTCAGTATATATTATGTCGTCAGGAAAGTCGTGACGTATCTTTCTATGCAAAAATGCACCGTGACTTTCATGACGACCCAGCATTACACAACAGACCTTCATTTTCAGTTACTAAAAAAAAAAAAAAAAAAAAAGACAGCTAGAGCCAGAACAAGTATTAAAAGAAGAAAGAAAAGATACCTCAGCTCAGGTGGACAAAGCTGTCTGGATGGACAGGGTGTCCAGCCGGCCCAGAGAGAAGGGGCAAATGCATGCTTGGGAACTGGCACGAGTAACGGTGCCCCTGAAAGCACTAGGGAGACTGTGCTTCCTGGCAGGGACAAACAGTAAGCAAAGCGGAGCAGGGCAAAACCCAGTTCTGCTTTCGGTCTCCAGCTCAATTACCCTAAAGGCTTGCTAAAATGGACTGCTGGGCCCTGGGAATCGTCATTTCCAGCAAGTTCCTTCTGAGGCTAACTCCTGGAACCTTCCATGGTCGGGGTGGCCGCAGGAAAGCTGTGGCTTGTCCCCATGGCTCTGAGGCAGCTATGCCACCGCATTTTGGTAAGGGATTCAGGAATGGGGGATGTGAGCCATTGGAGGCAAAACTGACAAGCTGCTGGGGATGGAGGTGACCCCAGTGCTGCTGCTCAGAAAGGCAAAGGAACTAGAACATGGGAGAGGTGATCAGCATTCCCCTTCCCGGTTCCACATGGTCTAGGGGCTCTTGCCTGCTCTGCTCCCTGGATTCCCGGAAGGAAAGCAGGATGTCCACACACTCTGCACACCGGGGCGGGACTGTTCAATCACTTATGAAAAATGGATGACTTCTGCAAAGTTCTTCTATTTATTCATTAAAGTTTCACCAGCTGCCAACCTCGTGGCAGATCAGCACGCTCTAAAAACTCAAAGCCGCCCAAGGTCAGGGACCGGAACACCTAGCAGGGGGATGCGTTCTTATTTCAGGAGGACAGCACTTGAGAAGTACCCAGCTAAGAGCTGACGGACTGACGGTGAGGGCAGAGGGGCAGGCCTGCTCTCCAGTTATACTCCCACTCATCCAATCTCACAGCCCAAACTTCATCTGTGGGGCTGGCTCCACGGTACAGTGGTAATACACTGCTCAAGAAAGCTGGATCCCACGCGGTGACTGCAGTTCGAATCCCCAGCCTGGTCTGATCAAATCACCATGTGCAAGATGTGAGTGCCCAAGACCTGAGAGGCTTGAGTATTGGAGGCAGGGGATGGTGGTGTGACCAGACCGTGGAGGGTGCTCATCTGTCTCTCAGGCGTGTGTACACGTGCTCTTTCAAAAAGAAAGATAAAAAGAGACAAAATACCACCTGGACCTTAACGACTCCCAGATCCGTATCTCTAGCTCTCTAGATATTTCCTTTATTTCCAACTTCCATTGGGTCATCTGGAAAGTCATGACGCATTTTTGCACAGAAAACAGAAAACCACGTCACGACTTTACTGACAACCTAATTAGTCAAATGGCCGATGTTTAAACAAAGTCCACGTTACGTGCTTCCCTTCTTCCTGATTTGAATTAAGTAATTGCCTTCCTGACCCAAGAATTACTGTAACCTAACAAATGGCAGCTACAAAATACCCTCAGCTACTATTATACTAAACAGAAAAAGACTGGATGCTTTCCCACGAGACCCAGGATCAAGACGAAGCTGTCCACTCTCACCACCTCTGTTCCATCTAACTAAAGAAATTAGGCAAGAAAAGCAAGTAAGTACATTCAGACTGGGAAGGAAGCCTATAACCAAGTCACTACAAACTATCTGTACTAATACGTGAGTTCAGTAAAGTTAGAAAATATAAGCCAATAGGGACCAGCAGATAGAATACTGGTTACGTTGCTGGACTACCACGTAGTTGACCGTGGTTCAAGACCTACTAGACCTGGTGTCTTGAAACTCACACCAGGAGTCTGTGCGTGTGTACCCAAGATCCTGAGAGGAAAATGGAAGAGAAGGGATTGCAGCATGGCCAGTACCCTGGGGGGGGGGGGATTTCTCGCATTCTGTCTCTCTGTCCTTCTCTGTCTCTCTGGTAAGCACATGCGCCCTACAGAAAAAAAACCTCTCTCTCAAAAAAAAGAAAATACAAACCAATAAACAAAAAAAATCAATTGTATTTCTATATATTGTGATAAACAATCTGAATATGAAATTAAGAAAATAATTCCATTCACAGTATCATAAAGAATAAAATAGTAGGTATAAATTTAATAAAGGAGCTATAAAACTTATACCCTGAGGGGTCGGCAGGTGGTGTGGTGGTTAAGGCACTGGACTCCCACATGGCCGACCACAGTTCAAGTACTGGACATGGTGGCTTGCTCTCTCTCTCTTACTCTGTTCCCCTCTGACCAGATTGAAAATAAGTAAATAAATGAAAAAATAAATAAAGTTAAATAAAATAATTCTTTTAAAAAATTTATACTCTGAAAACTACAAAATATTAGTGAAGTACTAATGCATATTACAAAATGCATGGACCTTGAAAACATGATGCTAAAATGAAAATGCCTACCTATTACATGATTCCATTTTTATGAAATGTTCAGAACAAGCAAATTTACAGAGACAGAATAGCAAATTACAGAATAAGCAAATTTCTCACTTTCTGTCTCTGTCTCTCTGGTGAGCGCACATGCCTTATAGCAAAAATTCTCTTAAAAAAATTACTGTGTATCTAAGAAAACAGTAATTGCAGAATGGTACAACATCCAGTACTAGGTCATCTGGTAGCAGCCCTGAGCACGCAAGATGGCAAGAGAGAAGCCATGACAAGTGGGAAAGACCGGCAGAGGCAGCAATGCTATCTCCTTGAGGTCCTCCCACTCTGGGCAACTCCGCACATGCTCTTAAAGAGCATGGAAATAGGGTCTGAGGCAGCTTCCTCTTGTATCACACATAATGGCAGCGTTAGGTGAGAAACGCGGGTTCCACGTATACAAAAGCTCTAGCACTGTACTGGGCACACACAGGCAAGCCACAAATGGTGCCATTATTGCTGCAATGATCCCTCTTGGAAGGTTACAGTCTTTAGCCTCCAATGTGTATATTTTTATTTTTAAGAGAGATTTTTGCTATATATAGGGCACGTGCACTTGCCAGAGAGATAGACAGAAAGCAAAGGACCAGCAGTTGGCATAATGCTATGTCACTGGACTCCCATGTAGTCGACCATGGTTTGAGTCCCAGACCTGGCGGCTTAAACTCATACCGGGCACGTGTGCATGCATGCCCAAGATCCCAAGAGGAGGATGGGGGAGAAAGGACTGCGGTGTGGCCATTCCCCCTTGGGGGTGATTTCTCACTTTCTGTATCTCTCTCTTTGTCTTTCTAGCGAGTGCACGTACCCTATAGCAAAAGCCTCTCAAAAACAAAAACAAAAACACAGAAAGCAAGAAATCACCCCCAAAGAGGAATGGCCACGCCACAATCCCTTCTCCTCCATTCTCCTCTCGGGATCTTGGGCACACATGCACATGTACCTGGTGTGAGTTTTAGGCTGCCTGGTCTAGGACTCGAACTGTGGTCAACTACATGGGAGCCCAGCAACATAACCATTACATAATCTGGTGGTCCCTCGTCTTCAATGTATATGAATTTCAGAAAATTTGTTCAAAACACGTTTTGAAGAGGAGGGAATCAGAGGGCATTAAGGGCAGAAGTAAGTGTAAGCGGGAGGGCCAGGTGACGATGCAGGGGCAGTGCGTGCTGAGCAGTAGGGCTCTACCTGCACTAGCGTCTCTTCTCTGAGTCACAGCCGTGGCGCCTTCGTTCCTGTTCACATAGCTGCACTTACCGGGCTGGACTGGATTCACCACGGGCTGGGGCTGGAAACAAAAGTCTGCATCTTCTGGCCATTTCTGGCTGTTCTGATATTCCTGGTAGGCCATGTTCTCTTCAAGGAATTCAGTCGGAGACCCTTAAGGGAGAAACAGGAAACAAGAGTTAAAGCAGCACCATCTCTCCTCCCCAGGTGCAGATTCCACAGTGTTAGACGAGTACAACAGGGTAGTCACATTTAGTGAGTCTTTTGTAAGAGCACTTTTTTAAAAAATTGAGAGAGAGAAGGAAATTAAGTATTGGAAGCATAAGGTTGTTTAAAAATTAAAAGCACTAGAGTGACTTCTGGCTATGTAGGCATGAAGAGGATGGTGATTTCTCTCCCAAAAGAACAAGGATAAAAATAGATAAAACCGTCAAAAGCAACCATTTTAGGGCACTAGAATTCAACAAAAAACAGACCTAAATAAACTGAAGTATAGCTCATGTTCAGAAATTGAAGACTCAACGTGGTGATGACAGTAATTCTTTCTTTTTTTTTTTCTTTTTTTTTTTTTTTGCTATAGGGCATATGTGCTCACCAGAGAGACAGACAGACAGAAAGCGAGAAATCACCCCCAGGAGGGATGGCCACGCCACAATCCCTTCTCCTCCATTCTCCTCTCAGGACCTTGGGCACACACGCACACGCGCCCGGCGTGAGTTTAAGCCACTGGGTCCAGGACTGGAACCGCGGTCGACTACATGGAAGTCCAGCAACATAGCCATTATGCCAACTGCTGGTCCCAAGACAGTAATATATTAGTCCCAAGCTGACCAATATATTCAAGGAAATTAGCATTACAATCCCAGAACTCTTTCTTTCTTTCCTTTTTTTTTTTTTTTTTTTTAATTTTTGCTAAAGTGTGCATATGCTCACAGGAGAAAAAAAAAGAGGGAAAGTGAGAAATCACTCCGGGGATGGGGGTGGGGGTATGGCCACACGGCAACTCCTTCTCCTCCATTCTCCTCTCAGGATTTTGGGCACGGACCTGGCATGATTTTCAAGTTGCCACGTCCAAGACTTGAACTGTGCAGTTGTCTATATGGGATCCACTACTTTAACCTTTATACTACCTGGTGGTCCCCAGCGGAACTTTATAAACTACCAACAGGTCACTCCTTAATTTATGTGGAGCTGCAAAACACCTGGAATGGCCAAAACAACTTTGAAGACAAAGACACAATGCTGGAGGACGGACACTACCTGATTTTGAATGTCACTATACACATGTCCCAGTGCAGACAGGTACTGGTCACACACACACATAAATAGAACCGAAAAGAGTTCAGAAAGAAACCTACCCAGTTAGGGACAACTGGTTTGCAACAAAGGTGCCAATGTAATTCAGTGGCATAATATTTATCAAAACATGGGCATGCTTGCACATGTGCCCAGTGTGAGTTTCAGGCCTCCAGGTCTGGGACTCAAACAAACTATGGTTGGCCATATGGGAGTCTAGCAATGTAACCATTACACCATCTGCTGGTCCCACAACTCAATTTTCAAATGGGCAAAATATTCTGATATCTCACCAGAGAAAATGTACAAGGGGTAAAGTCCAAGAAAGCTCATCCTCGTTAGTCCTTAGGAAAAGGCAAGTTAAAACCACGAGCTGGAGTCAGCAGGGGTATGGTGGCTAAGGCACTGGACTCCCGCATAGTCGACCATGGTTTGATGCCTGATCCCATGGCTTGAGACTCACGCTGAGCACGTCATATGTGAGTGCATGCCCAAAATCCCAAGAGGAGAGCGAAGAGCATGGGCTGCAGCGAGGCCATCTCTCTTGCAAAGGTGATTGCTCGCTTTCCATCTGTCTCTCCTGTGAGTGCACGTGCTCTATAGTGAAAAGAAAAAAAACTCGAAAAAACAAACAGAAACCACACCAAGCTGTTATAACACGGCCATTAAAATGGCTATAATGGAAAAGGCCAGAAACAGCAGGAGTCTGAGGATGTGGAGAAGCTGGCAGCTGCTTACATTCTCGGTGGGACAGTAAATGGGAAAGCTACTTCGGAAACCAGTTTGCTGGGTTTTTATTTCCTTACTAACAATTTCAAAGAGGTATAATTCACACCATGAAGTTCACCCTTGAAGTATAGAATCCAGAGATCTTTGGTATATTTAGTTGCAGAATGACCAGCATGATGTAAATTCAGAACACTGTCTTCATCCCCAAAAAGAAACCCCTTGGCCACTCCTCCTTTCTTCAGCCCCTGACAATCACTTCTCTGCTCTTTCCATGAATTTGCCTATTCAAGAAATTTCACATAAATGTGCCCACAGAGTGTGTGTGTGTGTGTGTGTGTGTGTGTGTGTGTTTTAATTTGCCAGAGGGCACATCCACGCGCTGGAGACAGCATAGAGAGAGAGAGAGCAAAAAAAGAACTTTCTCTGTGAGAGTCAATCCCTTCTCCATCTATTTCTTTATTTTTTGAGAGGTTTTCGCTATAGGGCGCATGCACTCGCCAGAGAGAGACACAGAGATAGAAAGCAAGAAATCACCCCCAGGGGGGATGGCCACGCCGCAATCCCTTCTCCTCCATTCTCCTCTCGGGATCCTGGGCACGCGCGCACACGCGCCTGGCGTGAGTTTTAAGCCACCGGGTCTGGGACACAAATCGTGGTCGACTATGTGGGAGTCCAGCGACATAGCCATTACGCTAACTGCAGGTCC